AAAAAAAAAGAGGGCGGTTGACGCGATAGAAACAAGTTATTTATATTTTTCTTTTACTTTGGTAAACAGTTAGGATATCAGAAGTGCAAACTAATAAAGTATACTTAGTATAATCTCAATAAGATCCGAGGCAGTAGAATGAAAGGCGATAGAGAAAAAAAAATGGATTTGATTACTTTTCTCTCTAGCGCAAGACACATTGACGTGACATCAAAGAAATAAGAGGATAAGCGTAAAAATTGTTCCGAAATAAAGTACACATATATGCAATATAGATGACTTGGCAGATGAGTAATGCATCAAGATAATCGATCGATTAAGCAGAAATAATGAATGCACAATTTAATTAGATCAAGATTTATTGTAGCGAATCGACACAATGAATAACAAAAAAAATATATATATATTACTCTCAAAATTCACCAGTTTATTCTTGTACGAAAATAAAAATTATTTACAATTTTTTTTTTATTATTATTGCTATTATTTTCTTTCTTTTTATTATTTTTGATTTTTTCACTATTTAATAAGCCTTAAAGTTATTCTACTGTAATTCTGAATGCGAAATGTAAAAAGTGAAATGCAAAAAGTGAAAATTGTAATGCAGAATGTGAAAAGTGGAATTTGGAAATAAACTTTTCTGATGTGTAATTCCGTCGGAATTCCATCGGAGTTCCAAAGAATTTCCGATGGGATTCCGACGGAATTACGTTGGAAGTTCCGGTGGAATTCTGATAGAACTTCCAGGGGGCACTTTCCGGGGAATCTTTCCAAGTGGGAGGATAAGGTTGTGATAAGCTTACAGTCTCTCCTGCACTAATAAATAACAAAAGAAATGTTTTATCTTCAATTAAACCAAATAAACTTAAATAAAGTATTTCTTTATTAAATTCCTTTTTAATCTTTTATTAATAAATATTATTGCATTCAAAAAAATTATTATTTCTTATTAATCAAACTCGAAATTTGTCTCTTTTCATGATCGGCATAATGAGACTTATTGTTAGTCATTTCATGAAATGCTTTAAAATATTAGACATATTGTATAATTTTATACTATTACACTAAATGCATAATTATAACCGTTGAATTTCATGAAATGTCTAAAAATTTTAGACACATAGTGAAATAAATAATTATTTCACAATCTGCTTGCGCTTCATGAAATGTCAGATTTCACTAAGAGGCCTACGACATATATACACAAAATGAGGGGATAATTTACGTATGTATAGAAGAAATGAAACGAGGTTTTGGAAAAAATAGGCATATAAGTTAATAGACATGAATATAGATGCGAGTGAAACGAAGAAAAGAAAAGTGGAAGGAGAGAAAAGAAAAGTATAAGGGAACAGTTTGGCGCGCATTTTTCACTGCGACACAAGAGGGCGAGTAATCTTTTATTTGTGCACCCCTTCACCACCCGTTTCCTCCCGCGCGGGTGCCACGATTCTTTTCACACTAGGCAGACATCTTTTCCGCCATCTTTCTTGCTAATTACCCGACCCGTTTTTCAACGGCTCTCAAACCTCAAGCTGTATTCTCTCTCTCTCTCTCTCTCCGCGCGCCACATTCGCGGAAATGACATGAAATATTCAAGCAACCAACTTTACGGTGTGGCTTCTATCTGTGATCTGCGCCTTCTTCCGCCCCCTAACTCTCATACTTATTTTCTTCTTTCTCCCCCCCGTCCTCCTGCTTCTCCTCTATGCCTTCAATCTCACTTCCTCTTTCTCTAGTTATAGTAATGCGTATACGAGACTTATTTCGATCCTATACCGCTTCTCTTTCGCATCGCGAAAACATATATATACACCTAGCTCTCTTTCTCTTTTTCTCTTTATATATATATACCCCTCTGAAACGAATTTGCTACGTGACATGAATTAAATCGAAAGTTTTATGGTCCTCAATCCTATGGCTAAATTACCTTCGGATTGCCGCCAGCATATTTCATTCGATCGAGCGCATATAGTGACGGATAAATTTGTGTTCAATTATTTTTCACCTTTTTAATTCCTATTTTAATAATATATATATATGATGTATTTCACGCCAAAGTGTATGTCCATCTGGTATTGCATCTCCGATTTTTTTGAGATATTTTTTTTTCTTTTAGTACACTGAGAAAAATATGCAATTGAATCAACAGCATTTCTGCTAAAGGCATAAAAATCATTGATTCTGAAGCATATGCTATAGAATTTGTAAAATATTATACAGATTATATAGCACGTGCTTTTGAATCAATAACTTTTATGCCTTTAGCAGAAATACTGTTGATTCAATAGCATATTTTTCTCAGTGTACTGATTGAGACTAGCTTCCATGAATTTTTTCAATTTTTTTTAGCAAGCCGTTTTCGAGTTATAGAATTTTGAAAATTGGAGAATTTTCATGACTTTTACTCTCTAAATCTGAATTAGTAAAAATGTTTACTAATTGACTCACTTTTTGCTTTAGAATTAGTTAAATTTTACTAATTGTTGGTAAAAGTTACTAATAATTAGTAAAATTTTACTAATTCAGAAGCAAAAAGTGAGTCACTAATTTTAATTAGTAAACATTTTTACTAATTCAGATTTAGAGAGTAATTTTTGAATGCTCATAACTTTCTTAAAAATGCATCAATTTTAAAAGTCTGATTTTCCAAATGTGTGTTTTTAAACGAACTTTAACGATATTACTATCAAATTTTTATGTTTTAACGATAAAAAGTCATTTTTCTCATTTGACGTACTGATCGAATTTTCTCAACATTTTTTCAAAAAAACTACTTCTTTTTACGAAACTTTTAAGCCTAGCCCGATAATAGGCAAACGATATTTACTATATTTTCAGAATTTTTAAAAAAATTTTTAAAAAAATTTTTGGTTTTTTTATTTTACGTACTTTTATGTATTTTGATGCGCTGATTACAAAAATCATAGTAACAATCCCAAAAATTTTGATTTTTATAGTGAAAAATAATGAAAAAGTCCCAAAATTTATGGTTTTTTTCGTTTATTGGGTAAAATATAAAATGTTTACACAAAAGTTATAGATCTTATTAAAATACACTTTTTATATCTGATGCATTTTTTTTTAATTTTGCATATTTTACCTAATAAACGAAAAAAAACATAAATTTTGGGACTTTTTTTTGTTTTCACCATAAAAATCAAATTTTTTGGGATTGTTACTATGATTTTCGTAATCAGCGCATTAAAATACATAAAAGTACGTAGTATAAAAAAAAAACCAAAAATATTTTTAAAAAATTTTTGAAAAATTCTGAAAATATAGTAAAAATCGTTTGCCCATTATCGGGCTAGGCTTAAAAATTTCGTAAAAAGAAGTAGTTTTTTTGAAAAAATTTTGAAAACAAACGATCAGTACGTCAAATGAGAAAAATGACTTTTTATCATTAAAACTCAAAAATTTGATAGTAATATCGTTTAAAAAAAATTTTCGATTTTTTTGTTGAATAGTACGTTTAAAAACACACATTTTGAAAAAAAGACTTTTAAAATTGATGCATTTTTAAGAAAGTTATATGAGCATTCAAAAATTAAAAGTCATGAAAATCCTCCAATTTTCAAAATTCCATAACTCAAAAACGGCTTGCTAAAAAAATTTGAAAAAATTCATGGAAGCTAGTCTCAATTAGTACTAAAAGAAAAAAAAATCTCAAAAAAATCGGAGATGCAATTGAAAATAGACTTACACTTTGGCGTGGAATACATAATATATATGGGGCATTCTATTTTAAAATTATACCCCTAGTAAACAATTGACAATATAAGACAATTTTTAAATAATTAGTTCTCCTATTTATAAAATAAAAAATAATTCAATTTTATTGTTTTAAATCAATAGTGTGATTTTTTAAGACGCATGATTAGAGGCCGTCCATAAACTATACGTGACCAATTTTTCGACCTTTTTAGACCTCTTCCCCTTTGTGCCCAACCGTGGCTTTAATCACACCCCCACCTTCTCCCTAATAAAGTACACAATTTTTATGTAACCAAAAATTAACTTCACAGAATTTTTATTTGTTTGAATTTTTATTAGTCAAAATTTTTATTTACTCGAATTTCCATTTAACATAATAGGCATTTTAAATTATTTTTATTAGATAAAATTTCATTGCGTAGAATTTTCTTTCAGATGAATTTTCATTCGAACAAATAAAAATTCGCCACGAAAATAATTATGACAAATAAAATTCCATAAAATATGAAAATTCTAACGAATTATTTTTAGAACATAATCATGCGTCCCGGTCTTTTTACGTTCGAAATTAAATTTTCTTTCTTTATTATTTTTGTTTAAAATAAAATTAAAAAAATGTCTTACCTATCTTCAACATTATATAAATATAAAATAATTATCAAAAATACGAAATAAATAAAAACGAAATATTATAATAAATGAATAATATAATAATTAAAACAAAAAGACAAATAAGCGAAACAGTAAATTCCTTCCCATAAAATGAAATAATAAATAAAATCATAAATAATACAAAAAAAGATAATAATTAACTACAATAAATTTACTAAAGACACATATAAAACCAACAAAAATTATATAGAGTAGACATTATCTCATATCCCTAATCGGAATTTTTTTTTCCAAAATTATTTTTAAAAACAATAAACCACCCTAATTCTCAAATCTTTAGATCTACACTTAATATTATTATTTTCAAGTCTAGAAATTAAATTATCTAATTACTATGAGGCTATTTTATCTTGATCTCTACCTTGTGAGACGCGACTTATATACATTTATATTGAAAGAATGAGAAAAAAGGGGGAAAAAAAAAATAATGTCTGAACTTGTGGAAAATAAATTGCGCCATAAAAGATTATACAACTCACGGCATAGGATAAATGCACTTCATAGTTTTGCATCTGTTTCCTGTTTCAACCTAGTCAAGAATACTATAAATTTTCGTCACGTTGAATGAAAATAAGATGCACCTGCTATAACTATAGTGTATAGTTACTAACCTTGATAAAACGCTTGGCCTTCGTTAAAAGTCCCAGCGTGGTATGCCTTGACGTTTCAGGACCCAATGGTACAAGTCCTTTCAGCTTTTCAAGACAATTTCTAAGGTGTGCTCGTCTGTAACAGAAAAAAAACAATTTCAAAATTTTTTAAAATTTAACATTTTTTTTTTTAACAAAATTTATTTATTGGCAGTAACGTGAAAAAATATTATAATTTAAACTAGCAAAATTAAACGCGCGCCAAATTGAGTATTTAATTGTTTGTTATAAAGAAATTAAAGATTAATATTATCAATAATAATTTAATTTATTAGAATATTATTACATATTAAATGATAATAATGAAAATTATATGTTTACAGGCCTCGGATTATACGACTTTTTCCGACTTTTATCGACTTATTTTAATAAAATGCGACATTCTTTTTTACATTTGAAAAAAAAATGTAAATAAAATACATTCTTTTAGTATAAAATGTAGATTTTCTTCAGATCTTCTTCAATTCAATTATTTAACAAATTTTGAACTAAAATGATTCTTCACTAAATTAATTATTTTTAATAATTTTAATGAAATACATCACAAATTCAATTATATCAAAATTATTTTTCAATTAAAATTTTTATGAAATTTAACAATTGTTTATAATTAAAAAAAAATATATCACAATAAAATTGAATTATTTTTTAAAAATTTCAATTCAAAATAAACTAAAATTCAATTATTACCCGAAATTTTAATTCAAAATCAATTAAAAATTCAATAATTATCAAAAATTTTCAATTTAAAATTTAATTATTTACCAAGTTTTCAATTTAAAATGAAATAAAATTCAATTATTTTCTAAAATTACTATTCAAAATTAATTATCCAAATTTTCAATCAAAAATGAACTTCAATTAAATTATTATCCAAAATTTCAATTAAAATTCAATTATTTCCCAAAAATTTCAATTCAAAATAAACTAAAATTCAATTATTACCCGAAATTTTAATTCAAAATCAATTAAAAATTCAATAATTATCAAAAATTTTCAATTTAAAATTTAATTATTTACCAAGTTTTCAATTTAAAATGGAATAAAATTCAATTATTTTCTAAAATTTCTATTCAAAATTAATTATCCAAATTTTCAATCAAAAATGAACTTCAATTAAATTATTATCCAAAATTTCAATTAAAATTCAATTATTTCCCAAAATTTTCAATTCAAAATGAACTAAAATTCAATTATTTTCCAAATTTAAAATCGAATAAAATTTCATTATTCTCAAAAATTTAAATTCAAAATTAATTGAATTGAATTTTCAATAATTTGAATTTAAAAGCATCTAATATTTAATTATTTCTAAAATTTTCCATCGAAAATTTTTTTTTTTAAATTTAATAATTTCAATTATAACTCTAAGGAAATTCAATTATTTTTAACTATTTTAATAATATTCTTTGAAATTTCAACTATCTGAAACCATTTTTCAATTAAAAATGATTTTCAGGTTATTGTATTTTGTCCGCATTTTCTAATAAATTTTTAGTGAAGTCATCAAAAATTTTAATTAAAAATCACTTAAAGTTTCAATTAATTTCAAAAATCTCAATTTTAAATCTTTGAAAATTCAATTAAATTTAAAAAATGTTTTCCAAAAATTGTTTGATAAATTATTTTTAGTTCTGTAAAATTTAATAATTGTTTGAAAATTAACAATATCTTTTGAAATTTAATTATTTCTAAAAATTTCAACTTTAACCCTTCGAAAAGGATTATTATTAAAAAAAAAATTTTTATTTAAAAATCTGTAAAATATTTTTGTTAAAATGAAAAACAAATCCACTTTTTTTTGGAATATAAATCGACTAAAATGACTTTTTTGTGTCTTTAAGTTGATTCGAGGCCTGTATTTTTATAATTAATATTTAATAGGTATTCGTTGGCCCCTGGTACCTTAAAAATTAATTTTTTTCAAATTACTATCTTGTACTATTCAAAAAACACGTGAAATCAGAAAAGGCCAACTTCAAGTTAGGACAGAAGGACAGACCAAGCATTTTATTATTATATAATTATTTATTGCACGGTATGAGTGAAAACTATTTTTTTTTGTATTTTTATACAAGAAGGTTAATTTGAAACAACTAAATTTTGGTTCAGTAAAAAACCAAAACTTTTGGTTGAATTAATAAAAAGTTTATTTGGATCAAATAAATATTTATTTTAAATCAAATAAATTTTGTTTGAAATAACAAAAAATAATTATGTTACTCCAAAAAAAAAAAATGGTATATTTGGTTCAAACAAAACTTTTCTCTGATTGTGAGTGTAAAAGAAAATGTTTTTTTTTTCGTATAAATTTTGTTGGAACTAATTTTTGATTCACGTAGTAAAACATTAACGACATACTTTCAAATATTCAAAAGCGTCAACGTAAATTCCATATATGAAAATTGACAGTATATATATATATATATATATATATTCCATGATACAACGCTAATCTTTGCATCCAACTTTTTATCGAGAGATACCACTAAAGTTATGAAAATGTCACATACCTCGTTACTAAGCCTTTATAAATTATCTGTGTCGTTTATGGCTTCGTAAATCCGCATGATATGGTAATATAAATCTCATATATTTATACTTAATAGGAGTTTAGAGCGAATATTCTATGAATTTTTCAAGAACTCGAAAATATTTTCGCAATTTCTTTAAACAAAATAAAAAATACTATTAATTTTGCAATTTAAAAAAATTTTTTTTTTTTTTAATTATTTACTTTCTATAAACTTTCATTTTAGACTCTTTAATTTGATGTATGTTACAAAAAAAAGATTTTATTACTGTCACAAAATTTATTACTGGCAAAGTACTGGCACAGTACTGGTTCCAGTGTCGCGCCAGTACTCTGGCAAATTTTAGTAAAAAAGGTAAAAATTTAAAAAAAAATTTTTTTTTTTCGACTTCAAAAATTTACATATTAAAATTTTGCGACAAACAATAACAAAAGAACAATGAAAGCGCATGTTGTGTAAATTCTTTCCAAATTACTTGAATGGCCAGAGCTGTATATTTTTCAAAGAGTGGGGTATTTATCGCTGCCATTGTACAGGGAGAGTATTCACGCGCCTAATGGCCCGTGATCGCGTCGATAACCCGGATCGTATACTTCTTTTTTTTCCGGGGCCTGTCACCTTTTTTTTCTCTTTTTTTTCTTCTTTATCAAGCTTTTTCTCTCTATTGGTCTTTTGTATATATATATATATTGAAGAAAATACGAGACAATAAAATTTTATTTCATATTTTATTACCTGCGATTCCTCTACTCTCATTGTGCAAATGAAACTACAATTTTATTTTATTTACTTTCACAAAAAAGTGAGTACCCCGCGTCTCCAATATATCAGCCACCAAAAGTAAAGTCTAGAAATCGTAACAAGCAAAAAAAAAAAAAATTTATATATGTCTTATATAAAATATTGAAAAATAAGAAAAACATATGGAAACATTTATGACGCTAAGATAACAACCCAAGATCTATTTTGCTATCTATATATATAAAATATATATAAGAGGGTACTTTGTTCCAACAGCGGTATATAACGAATGAGGCAAAAAAAAAAAAGGATTCAACTTTCCAATATTTCCTTCTATTTGTATGTCAAGTGTCCATATCTGAATGGGATATAAATACTGAAATTGGTCAATATTCTTTTATTGATTGTTTTCAAGACAATAAAAATCTTTTTAAACAGAATCATTACTTCCTTTATGTATAAATCAATTTCCAACTATTTTTAACTTTCGATCAAAAGAGTAAGAGTAGTAAAAAGGTAAATCAAATTTTATTACTCAAATACGTTCAAAAAATTATTTGATTCAATTAATTCAAATTATTTGAAAAATATATACTAAATATGAATTATTTTAAAATATTTACTAAGTATTTGAAATTTTACAAAAATATTTACTTGGTTTAAATATCTTTTATTTGCATCTAAAAAAATATATAATTGATTCAAATAAATTGAATTATTTTAATTACATTTAAATAATTACATTTAAACCAAAAATGACTTGTAATTAGATCAAATAAATAATTAATTGATTCTAATAAATAATTTCTTTAAACAACACTAAATAAATTGAACTATTTAATGCAAGTAATGAATATATTTTGATAGCCGTGGTCGTTAAAGCACTCTTAGATTAGTTTTTAGATTAGGTAGTGCGTCGGGTGTTCAATCCCCGTAGGGTTCGAATTTTAATTTAACGTTTAAGAGTTTCGAGGTCTTAACCTCAAACTAAAAAGTTGGGTTTTAACAACTTTTGCTCTTTGAAAGTAATAAATTTTAAACATATTTTTAGTTCTGTGAAAAATCATTTTTTAGTTTGAGGTTATGTTCGGGGCTAAGTACCCTTAAGGTTGATGTAGCAGGTTTAGTAAATATTAATTTGATTCAAATACAGATTTAATGGAGAAAAAAGGTTATAAAAACACTACGCACTGAAAAAAAGGTTTAAGTTGACAACAAAACATTTTCGTATAATATATGTGCAATCAAATTTTTTTTTTGTTGCATCAATAAAAATTTGGTTATCCTAATCCAAATCCAGTTGGTATTACCAAAATTTGGTTAAGACAACAAAATTCCTTCTATTTGTTTGTCTCAATTAAAAATTAAAATAACCAAAATTTTGTTGACGCAACAAAAATTTTTGTTTGCATGTATATTAAACAAAATGTTTTGTTGTCAACTAAAACCTTTTTCTCAGTGAATTTAAATCATTTATTTAGGATCAAATAATCAAATAAAAATTATTTGATACAAATAAATTATTGGTGTACAAAATAGAAGTTGATAAAGAATTTTCTCTTTCTCTCTCTCTCTTTGAAATTTCGATTATGATTTGATAAATAGTGTATAGCAACATTTTCAAGTGTCTTGGTATCTGCACGTGTCACGTCACGTGTTAAAGTTTCATTTTACGTTCCATTTGCTAAACACACGCATAGGGTAAACACGAAGGTATCTGTACAAAGAGATGGTGGCCACAGTCTGTTTACGACAGGACGCTTAAAGCCCCCCGACGAAAGACGAGAGAGAATCCATGTTT